CTGAATCGGGGAAAGATCGTTTTTTTGGTTTGATCTAAGGTCTGAAACTTGAAGGGCTTGAAGCGAAGAGGAAGAGGTAAGAGGAGGGACGTGAAACGTGGGAAAAAGGAAGAAACTTTATCTCTCTCACAAGGATTGAAGTAAAGAAGAAGCAGAAATGGCGCTTTCTTAAAGTTTCTTGTGGCTATTACAATTTTTAGAGAGGAATCAAGGTTTTATTATATATATTCGATATTCATTACATTAAATATGATTTGATGCGGTTAGCAAAAAACAAGAAACATTTGCATATGATACTACAAATGATACTACAAAGCCTGTATAATATGGGCATTTTAAAAATAATATGGCATCTTTTTTTCTATAATCAATAATTTGGCATCTTCTTCAGTAATAAATATATTCAAATGGATTTTATTTTATTTTATTTCAGATGTTAGATTGCACAAATTACACATGCTGGCTGATATTTGAATTGGTTTTCTTGAAACTATTTGTAAGAAAATACCCTTCTTAAGTCTAAATTGAATTTGAGTCCTTTATTATTTTTTGCTAACTAATTTATCAAAAATAGTCTTTGATATATAAAATTGACGTTATGAAATTTGTGTTAATTTTTCTGATAGATCTAATTGTTAAAATTTTAAAGCAACGGTAAGAAATATAAATATTAAAAATATAAAAAATATTTTAAAATATAAAAAAATTAATAGTATAAAAAATTAATAGTTTAAAAATTAATATAAGTCATAAATATAAAAAGTTAATAGTATAAAAAATATCACTATTTATTTTATACATTAAATGTTTTATTATCATATATATTTTTTCTTTTGCTAATTTTTTTTTGTCGTTTGTTCTAACCTATGGAGTATGGATTATATCGCTTAATTCATTATGCTATAAATTAATGTTTTAAAATATACTTTAATCGACCATTAGGTAGTAAATTTTTATATTGTAACATAAACTTTTTCCGTTTCAGTTAAAAAATCGTTTTAGAGTTTAAAATTTGTTTTATAATAAGTGTTGTTTTAGTTTTTTTTTATGCAGATTTTGACAGTTTTATCTTTAATGTTTTAATGTAATCAATAATTTCTTTTAAAAATATATCTAATAAATAGAAAATTCGTTTATTTTTCTATTTTGTGTAAAAAAAACTTTAAACGATGCTTAAACTGAAATTTAAATTTTCTCTCATTAGTATTTAACTATTTATGTACATAATAAGGCTCAAAGATGGAGGGTGAGATAGTTAATTTTAAAATGGACGGGTCAAAGTTGTAAAGCTTAAATTCCATTAAACACCTCGACCGAATTAAGTGTCAACTATGTTTGACAAAACGGCACGGCGTCTCTCTCTTTTTAAAACACAGATGACATGTTTTTTTGGAGCTGAGAACAAATAAAACGGCGAGATGTGTCGTTTTCCATGACGTGGTTTTTCAGAGTTAGATAACTCTCTATTAATTAACTATCCAATTAAATATGTGTGGACTGGTACCAAACAAAGAACACATGATTTGATTAGCTTTCTTCATTCATAATTTCATATTTGTTATTGATACACACAACTTATTTAAGGGAAAATTGGAAATAAAGGATATCTACTTAAAAATTTGTCCATATACACCTTTTTTGTGAGATTGTCAGTTTGGACGATTTTACCCCTACACCCTAATTTAATTGTTTTTTAAAAAAAATAATCATAAAAACAGGTAGATATACAAGAGTAGAGGTGATTTGAAGTATAATTTTTTAGATTTGGTTTACAAAAAGTTGATTTTTTGATAGATAAAGTTTCATCTAATTTTGGTAGAACACGTTTTCTAGAGTTCTGCGAAACTCAGAATGTGTATTCTGCATTTTTGTACATGTTCTACATATTTCAGATTAGATTTATGTTCTGAGAATTTTAGAAATCCGAAAATCAATAATCTAAAATATTTAGAACATGCATTCTACGTTTTCCTCTATGTTCTAAATGTTTTAGAATAGACGTTCTAATAATTTCTACATCTTCTGCCATAATTAGAAATTGTAATCTACGTTTAGAATGTAAATTCTACGGTATTGCAGATTTGATTTCTGAAATTTTTAGAATGCTCTAAATATAGAAAGTAAATATTCAGAAAAGGAAATAAAATATTTTTTTTAGATTACGATTTAAATGAATATTAATTGTTTAGATTACGATCTACAAGATGTAGAAGTTTTTGTCTACGGTTTTTAGACTAAGATTAAAACCTAAAACGTTTTTTAAACCCTAAAAAGCTACACGTCTTAATCCTACACGTCTTAGTCCACCACTTTCGTTTCTAAAAAGCTAAGAACACGTTTTCCTTCAAATTTTCCCTTTTTTGATCAACGATTTCTCGATGTACATCTATGTAAGGAGTGGTGTATGGAGATTGTATAACAAGAAAGAGTGGAGATTTATCATTGATGAAAAAAATCGTGGGAGATTGTTGAGTTTGGAAACGACTACAACTTTTGAAGAGTTACAAGCGATTGTTGCAGAAGACTATGGAATAGAACAGAGTACAGTTGATGTGGAGTTAAGTTACTTACCCACGGATCTTAGCTTGGATTGTCCTCCTGTTGTAATGATGAATAACAGACAGGTTAGTAATTTCCTTTCGTACTGTAAAAGGAAAAATACGATCAAGTTATGTGTGACGTTCAATGGTGGAGATAAAGATACAAGGAATAAAGAAAAATTCGATCTGAATAAGGAACCCGACGCTGCAAGTAATGGAGATGATGATGTTAATGTCGACGATGGAGATGATGATGTTAATGTCGACGATGGAGATGATGATGTTAATGTCGACAATATTTTGTCATCATGGGGTGTGAAAGAAACTAGAAAGATGCCGATAGTTTCAAAACTCCAAAAAATGCTATTGTTGGTCACGGACTCGGATCGTCGTCACAGTATTCTTGTGTGAGCCAGGGTCAGTATTTCAGAAGCAAAGAATTGTTACAGTCAACCATGGAATTGTATGCGATGAAGTATAAATGTGACTACATGATTACAAAGTCTGATAGAAAACTGTGGTGTATACGATGCATAGATGTTGGCTGCAAGTGGCGACTTCGAGCTGAGCGTTTAGAGAGGTCTTCGTATTTAAAAATCAACAAGTACGTGGGTAACCATACATGTGCTCCTTCCAAGAAAAGTAAATTCTGTCGAACACCTTCAGCAAAAACGATTGGACATATCATTATGCATAATTATGAAGGTGTGTTGGAAGGACCTAAACCGAATGATATCATCAATCTTATTCGGTCACAGTATGGACACGAGCTTAATTATTCGCAGGCGTGGGAGTCTCGTGAGTATGCAGTTAATGAAGTCAGAGGAATTCCTGAGAAAAGTTATGGTAAGATACCAAAATACTTGTACATGCTACAAGCAGCTAATCCCGGTACGTATACAAATTATGAAGTTGATTGTGATGGTAGATTCCAATATCTATTCATATCTTTTGGTCAGTCAATTAGAGGGTTTTACAAGTCAATTCGGAAAGTGATTGTTGTTGACGGTACGTTTTTGAAGAGTAAATACAAAGGAGTTCTTCTGGTTGCTACAGCCGTAGATGGTAACTCTAATTTGTATCCAATCGCATTTGGCGTTGCTCGTTCTGAGAATGATGCATCATGGGAGTGGTTTTTCTTGCAACTTAAGACACTCATAGCGGATGATCAAGGTTTAGCTTTTGTGTCAGATAGGCATTTGTCGATCAGTAAATCGCTTGAAAAAATCTATCCGTTAGCTTCCCATGGTATTTGCATCCACCACTTGATCGGTAATGTTATTACATATCACAGTGGAAGGGGTGTGGCTGGTATGGTTGCAAAAGCGTCTAAATCCTATAGAGTTACTCAGTTTGAGAAGTTGTTCGAGGATATTTGCAACATCAGTCCAGCGATTGGTGCATACTTAGACGATGCTAATGTTGAAAAATGGGCTCGCTGCCACTTTCCGGGATTTAGATACGACATTAACACCAACAACCCTGCAGAATCAATCAATTCTGCTTTGAGATCACCTAGAGAGTATCCGATAATTCCTTTGTTAGACAGCATTAGGGAGATGTTGACACGTTGGTTTTATGAGCGAAGAGTATTAAGTGCAAAGCAAAAAGATCCGTTGACTATTGAGGTGGAGAAAAAGATTTCTAGAAGAATAGAGAAAGGTAAATTTTTTAAAGTTTATCCGATTACTAGTAACAGATTACAGGTTAAAGCAAACGGATTCGACTTCGTCGTTGACTTGGAAAGAAGAACATGTTCATGTGGGAAGTTTGAGATAGGGAAACTTCCTTGTAGACACGCTATAAAAGGAGCTTATGCGATAGGCAAGTGTATATACCCATATGCTGATGATGTGTATACCACTGCCACTTGGAGATCGTTATATGAGGAAACTATTAATCCAATTGGTGTTCCCGAAGAAGAATGGCGTGTCCCAGAGGAGGTTGCAGCTGCAATTGTGTTACCACCTGAAACAAGAAGACAACCTGGTCGACGAAGAAAACGAAGATATGAAACGGCTGAAGACAAGATAAAAGCGTCACAACAATCACAATTGTCAAAGAGACATAGGTGTAGTCGTTGTGGAAAAGAAGGCCATAATCGAACAACATGTGACATAGCTATATGATTAAGGTTTTTCTAACTACTGGTTGTAATCTTAAATAGAGACTTTAAAAATTGTCTTTTGCTAACGGTTTTGTTTTTAATTTACAGGATTAGAAAGCAACTTCAAATTATGAGCAACTTCATGTTTTTCCGATTCACTACCATGGGAGGTTGCGGGGTTCAGTTCTTAGTTTTTGATTTTATTCTAATAATTTTCGTTTTGCTTTTTTGAGTATTACATTCACTTATACTTATATTTTTGTTTTTGTGTTTTGATTTATGGATTCAGTATTAGTTAAGTTTGTGGTTTAGTTTTGAACTATGGATTCACTTCTACTTATGATCATTTTTTGTTCCTGCGTTTGTCTCTAATGTTTGTGTTCATAATCAAGTTTGTAATGGATCAAATTATACATGAGTAGAACACGTATAAAACAGATAAGCACAAGAAGGAGTGGAGAACAAAAAATCATCTTGCTCGAGCTAATAGGAGATATTAGAGACGAACTCAAGGAACTTACTTTCATAAAACGCCTAAATAATTAGGAAAAAAAAAACAAAGGTCATACAAAATACATGTCGCAAGAGTAGGACATAATCTGTTTGCACGATAAAAAAAAACACCATAATGCTAATTAATCTCAATCAATTTCAAGGATATCCGACGATTGATGTGGAGGTTTATAGTTCTTCATTCGCTCAATTAAGATAGGATCATGAGCAGCCTCCCAAAGGTCTACAGCAATCTTCATGCGCGCCTCTTTGATGTTCCCATCGTTTATCAAATCCATGCTTAGATTAAGCATATGACACTCAATGTGTTTCAATGCATACACTCCGCAATCACACATAGTAGTGTTCAGATTTTTAGGCACCTTGACGTTTATTATCTCATATTGTGTCAATAGAGGGACTTTTCCATATACCTTCCCGTGCACGTCTTTCACAATCCTTGGGATGATGTATGCAAACATTTCCACGTTTCTTCTGTTGTTGTTGCCGAAACAATCGAAGACTTCAACAGTTCTTAAAACAAAGTTGACGCAAATAGAAATCCAGTGACTATTATTGACGTTTACCGGAGCGTAAATTCTGTCGAAATCCAAAGCCCAACTTTTACCCGTCTTTCCATGAGATGGGGACTCACCGGTGACGAAATCAATAAGCCGACTATCCCATTTGTGGGTCTTTTTATTTTTCATGAACTTTGGGTATTCGTTTTTGATTCGCGCGCTAAACTCGCAACTCATAAACCCAACACGAGCTGAATTTAGTCGGCGTAAAGATGTGGATTCCCGATGTAAGTACAGTACTGCATCTATTTCCTGCGTTGCAATTATTTTTAAAAACAAGTTAGTATTTATCGAAATGAATACGTAATCAGTCATGAAAAAAAAAAATAGTAAAACTTACATCGTTGCCTAGCCATTCTTTTTGATCAATCAGACGCTTAAATAGTGCATCAGTTAGATGAGATGGACCGAGTTTTGGAACATCACGACTGTAATGAAGGTAAAACAAAAAGAATAAACAATTATACAATCAGGTATATTTAAAAGATATAAAAATAGAATCATAGGACTTACTTTACGTTCCTAAACCATGCTTCAAAAGCAGTCCATCTAGCTTCAGGTAAGTATACCAACACCGCGTCAGCGTCATATTTACCCGAATCACCCTTATCATTCCAATCCATAAACTCTGCAGTGTCGTCTTTGCGCTGTTGTTTCTCGAGGTTTTGTGAAAATATACCCTGTGATGGATCAAAACCCGGTGCTTGTGATTTTTGAGAAAGATGCCCCATTTCTTTTTGCAGAAAATCTGGATCTTGCGAATCCATATTAAGGTCTATTTCACCCGGACGGGTGAATAATTCATGAAACAGACAATTATCGTCCTGCAAAGACAGTCAATGTAAATATCAAAACAAAAACAAACAAAATAACTAAGTCTGAAATTACAATACATGCCTTTAAATATTATAATGCATAAGTTACTAAATAGCCTAATTACAAGGTTTTACATAAGTTTTTACTTCTTACGAAAGCTACAAACACAAAACATATAACAGAATTACAATGTCATACAATGCTAAAATACAACAACAGAAGCTTTGGTTTTTATTTTTAACGTACCACTGGTTGACCATTACCGAATGGTGGTGCCTTGTCTTTTTTCGAATTCTCATCCATAGTGATCACTGCTTTCTTGAGTGTTGCTACATCTAGCTCTATCTTTCCTAATTTGTTGCTTACTTCTTGCCCAAAATGCTTGAAAGAAGTTTCAAACATTTCTCTGATGAATGTTTTCATCTCTTCATCAAAACCATGTGGTGCGGCTGGAGCTCTTTGACATAACAGTTTCATCTTCCTTGTCTGTGCACCGTGGTCACCGTCCTTACTCCTTCTCTTCTTTGAACTTGTCGCCATTTCATGCTCATTACTCTGCAAACCAGAGAGTAGGCTACCTTCAACAGTGACATTCGCCTCTTCCTTGTCATTTGTATGTATCTCACCTTGACCTTCCACATAGCCATCTTCTACTAAATCCTCATCTATCGTTTCTTCCTCGACATCAGGACTCTCAACAGCATCCCACTCAAAGTCAGAAAAATCATAACCAGTTCTTATCAAAGCATTTAAGTTCTTCAAAGCAACATCACTGTTCTCACCTTGCCTCAGGAAATCCACTGACTCATATACATCATAATTTCCTGTGATGGAAATGTATGGATATACAATATCCTACAGAATAATATTTACTTATCAGAAATGCAGCAAACCCATATGAATTGTTGAGTATATATGTATGAAAATTAAGCTACTAACCTCTGCTGTCATTCCTGACTCTAATTCGATAATTTCTTGATAAGAAACTTTTGCTGCCCCTTTCCA